AGAAATCCTCTTGTAAGACAAAATCACCCCTGGTTATGAACCACTGGTCTGGAGGCTGAAAAAGCTAGAATTCTCATTTTTCCAGCCTCCCTTGCAGCTAAAGATGGCCATGTGACAACACGTCTGGCCAATGAAACATGAGAGGAGAGCTACTGGAACCTCCTTCCTTTTTCTGCCTTCTTTCAATCTTGAACGAGGGCAAGAGCAACAGCAGCCACTTTGCAGCCATGAGATGAAAAGCATAAAAGACAAGCCATGAGAATCACAGAGATGTTGGCTCCCACATTTTTGAGCCAATGGACCAATGCTAGCAAACCACCTACCTCCAGACTTCTTCTTATGTGGGTAAGACAACTCCTATGTGTTCAGGCCACCAAGTTGAGGTTTTCTATTATTTGCAGCTGAAAACAATCCTAACTTTTAAACCACACAAAAGTGTTTGGATTTTATCCCAGAGATAAGGAGGATCTTTGGTACATTCTTAAAGATTGTAAAAAACAAAAAAAAATGCATCATCACACCTACATTTTAGAAAGATCATTTTGCTACAAAACACAGACTGTGAAGCAAGTTGGAGGCAGACAGACCATTGAAAATGCCATCATGGCAAGGCAGGCAAAAACATGATGAGGCGTGAACCAAAGTGGAATAAAGTGGAGGGGACACATTTGAGGGACATTGAGAGGCTAAATGGATGGACCCTAAGTATTTGGGTATGGGCAGTGAAGAAGATGCATCAAAAGCTAAAAATTACATTTCTGGTGTAGGTGGTCCCCTCAGTGGTACACAAAAGAAGTAACATATTGAAAGATAAGGACAATATTCCATCCCAGGCCAGGTTGAACTTGAAATGCTTATGGCACATCCAAGTAGTCATGTTCAGGGCATTTAGATACACAGGGCTGGAAGCCAGAAAAGAGTAACGGAGTGGTAATTATTTTAATATATGTATGATATAATTTAAAATTTTAAATTCCAATAAAATAACATACTTATTACAAAGTGATATCAATGAAGTATAGAATACTTAAAAATACAGCTAAGTAAAGAAAATTAAAAATACATGGACACGGGGGGCCAGGCCCATTGTGTAGTGGTTAAAGGTTTGGCGTACTCCTCTTCGGCGGCCCAGGTTCACGGGTTCAGATCCCAGGCGAGGACCTACGCCACTCATCAGCCATGCTGTGGCGGCAACCCACATACAAAACAGAGGAAGATTGGCACAGATGTTAGCTGAGGGCTAATCTTCTTCAAACAACAAAAGAAGATTGGCAACAGATGTTTGCTCGGGGCTAATCTTCCTCAGCAAAAAAAAAAAAAAAATACACAGGGAATGTGACTTTACTACTCCTCCCATCAAGACTCAACCCCCTTGAATCTGGGCTGGTGCTGTGACTTGCTTTGACCAATAGAATGAGATAGAAGTGACATTCTGGGACATCCAAATCCAGGCCTTATGAAGTCTTCCACATATGCTGAGAATGAACCCAGGTACCATGTAAAGAAGTCCAAACTAGTTCACTGGAGAGAGACATCAAATGGAGAATCCGCTGAAAAATGAGAAACTGACCATGTAGAGAGAATGGCCTCAGTTGACGGTCAGCAACAAGGCCCCACAAAGGTGAGTGAGACCATCTTTGATCCTCCCACTTCAGGGAGAATGAGATGAGGGAATTAGAAGAGAGAGCCCTACCCATCCCGGCCAGCACCTGGCCATTCAAGCCATTCCAGCTGAGACCACAGACATGAAGCAGAGATGAAATGTCCCACTGTTATCTGCCCAAATTCCTGACCCATTGAATCAAGAGCAAATAAAATGGTTGTTGTTTTATGCTAAAAAAAAAAAAAAAAAGACACATACTCATACAATCCCAAGCATCCAGATATAATTGGCAATAAAATGTGGTTACACACATACATATGAATATACACACATAAATGGGATTATATTGTATTTGCTGTACAGTTTTTTGTTCTTCTGTTTGCTGTACTGCTGTTTGTTGTTCATTTAACAGCATATCATAAACATCTTTCCACTTCAATTAATATTCATCCCATTTTTCTGACTTTTTACTATTATAAACAGTTCTGAGATAAATTGTTCTCATAGTAAAGTTTTTGCCCATATCCCTAATTATTTTCTTAGGATAAATTCCTAGACATGGAATTGCTGGCTAAATGGTATATGTGTTTTTAAGGCTTTTGACAGATGTTCCTAAATCATTCTCTTGACAGGGTAGAGCAGTTTACAATCCCTTCAGTACTACATGCAAGTACTCATCTCCCCACACTTTCTCCAAAACTATAGTTATAGACTTAATTGCTTAAATCTTTAAGAATTTTGTGCTTGCTTCATTCAGCAGCACATGTACTAAAATCTTTGAGAATTTTGTAAAATAAAAACGTTAACCTCATCGTTGCTTTCATTTTGCATTTATTTAGTTGCTAGAATTTGAGCTGCTTATGTTTTATCAGAGATTTGTATTTTTAAAATTTTTTTGGAAAACTGCTAATTCTTGTCTTTTGCCCACTTTTCTTTGGGGACACTTATCTTGTATTGATTTGTAACAGCTCTTTATATATTATAAACTTTAAGCCTTCTTCATTAATGCTACATTTTTTTTTTCTTAGCGTGCATTTGCCATTTAATTTTAGGGTACATTTTGATAAACAGATATTTAAAGTTATTGGAATCGTCAAGGTTTGAAATGGCTATTGTGAAGAATGGGAACAAGATGTTTCCAAAAGCAAATAGTAAGACTGAAGCACTATTTGAAAGGCTCAGCTGAGGTTGGATACCCATGAATTTCCAACGGCTTCAATCTGCAAAGTTGTAGCAACTTTTGGTAACTTGAGTGCAGAGGGAGAAGGGGAAGAAAATAGGATTTGCTTAGTTAGGATTTTGCCTGTTGGCTTAATCAGAAGCTGGACAAAAGAATAAAGAAGTTGTGTGTATCAGCAAGTGTGTTGCTGAGATAATGGACCACATGGACGAGATAAGAGGCAACGGGTGCGCTGCCAGAAAATAGGAGGGGTCAGGGGCCGTTATGGAATTGAAGACCAGACACAGCTGAATGAGAACAGGAGAGGGCTACAAGAGCAGGAAATTTTCAACAATTTTCTTCTATCATACTTTTCATTATGGCTTCCAATCCATTTGTTCTATTTTCTCCTTTTAAAGCAATGATTATTTTATCTGTTACATTTACTTGCATAATTTTAATTTTTTTTTTTTTTTTTTTGTGAGGAGATCAGTTCTGTGCTAACATCTGCCAATCCTCCTCTTTTTGCTGAGGAAGACCAGCCCTGGGCTAACATCCTGCCCATCTTCCTCCACTTTATATGGGACGCCACCACAGCATGGCTTGACAAGCAGTGCGTCAGTGCGTGCCCGGGATCTGAACTGGCGAACCCCGGGCCACCGCAGCAGAGTGTGCGCACTCAACCACTTGCACCACCGGGCCAGCCCCCATAATTTTAAATTTTTTTGTGTTCATTTCCTATATAGTCAGGGAGTGTTCCCCATCACACTCAGTATCAATTTTCAGCCATCAAGTTTGTTTCCTGGATCCAACACTCTACTATTTTAGCCACTCTATTTCCATTTCCTTGAATTCTCTTTTTATCTCAGCCCATACTTACTTGAAAGAAGCATTGTCTTCCTGCATCCCAAGCAATATTTAATATGGGAATATGGGGTGGGAAGGAGAAACGTTGGAGGGGAGAGAAAAACAGGGTGATGCACCCTTTCAGCCTTAACAAGATCACAAGACACACAGTAAACACCAGACTGTTTAGTGAGTTTCCACGTTCAATGATCACAACTCAGGGTCATGCTGACCGAAATGGAAAACTGCCAGGTACCTCCTGCGCCGAGCAGAGCTCCAAAGTCCAGTACCCTGTTTGCTCTTACCTGAGATATTGTCTTGCAACATTTGGTTTGCAAGTGTCCTCTGAGGCCTTGAAAACTCCAGACCCTCCCTGACACCACCCTCCACTTCATTTGGGGGATGTCTTCACTATAGAGTTAAGGGATCATCATTCAATTTCTTGTGAATCATGATACCAGAGCTTCAAACATCTCTTTTCCAGTTCCAATATCCTTTCTCCACAGAACAGCCTCCAAGAAAGAGCAAAGCTGAGATTCCTATGACGTGTGGGTGCCTGGGTAAGGAAGGCTCAGGCACTGGACTTCCTTAGGGAGGCGAGGAGTTGACTGATGACCTGGGGCTTTGCTGATCCAAGAAGGGAGAGCCCTGAACTGGAGGCGTGGGCAGACTACGTGCTGCGTCTTGCCAACCACAAAGGAGCCAGCCAGGTAAGCCCTGAGAAGTCCTCCTGTCTAAAATCAGGCTGCACGTCATCCAGACAAAGAGAAGCCAGGAGCCTCCTTTATCCTGAACCCAGGCTCACATTTGCCATTGTAAATAGAAATGTCAGGTTTTGCATTTGAACTCTTGGGTCACCACATATCAACCCTGGCTAGGGAATTAGAAAGTAAAACCAGTCCTCGCCCAGAGGAATTCTAATCAGAACTTCAGTCCCTTCCTTTCTATATAACATCCGGAGACATTAGGCAAAACAACAAGAAAAGCAAACTATCAAAAAATTACAAACTCACTCAAGCATCGGAAAATCAGTTTGGTCATTCAAACCACTGAGAATTTTCATGTATTTTTTTTTAATTTCAGGTTTATTGAGGTGTATTTTCATGTATTTAAATGCATCATGACAGAAGCAGGCAACAGCCCCAGGCTACGTCATTCACTCACTTAAGCCCGGAAAGAAAACCAGACATTTTCAGCAAGATAAAGCTCTCAGAACCCCTCATTTGCCAAAGTATAAAATGCCAAGCTTAACTCTCAATCCAGAATACTTGTTGTCTCAAACCTCAGCACAGCAGAGCCCCTCTATGGTCACAGAGCATTTCTCTCCTGAGTGTAAGGCCAGAGACGGCCATGCAGGAGATAGCCCTGGCCCAGCCGAGACAGGACAACTACCTGAGACAAAGGAATAGGCCGCCAGGATGTTGCTGAGCAAAGCCATGTCCCCGTGCTCGGCGATCACCGGCTCCATGCTGCCCTGGTGGACGGTCAGCATCGATGCGACATCCAGAGGAGGCTTCCCGTAGATGGCTTCAGCTGGATCAAGGTGGCCCCTCCCTCTCTTCTCTTCTGTTTGGGAACACAAAGTGAGTGATGAGAACACAGTCTGCTTTCCTGAGGCTATGTTCCAGGTAGCCTGGGCTCAAGAACAGCCTCCTAAATGCCAGCCAGCCTCCCCAGCCCGGGCTCTGGGGTCTTGTCCTCTGTGCTCTAGTGAGCTTCTTGGCTTTCAAGGCAGTGGCAGCTCCTTAAATCTCTGTTTTTCCTGGCCTTTCTCCTTTCTCTTTCCCATCTCCTCCCAACTCCCCACTTGAACACTTCTCCCTCACCTTCCCTGGCACTTTTTACTGCATTCTCCCTGGTTCGTCTTTGAGGCACAGCCCACAGTCACTTTAATCACTGCATTGGAACCCCAAGCTGCTGCCCACTCGTCTCCTGTCTCTGCTGTCTCCTCCACTGACAGCACCGTGTACTTTGATCAGTTTGCCTCATCCCACAGGTCACCAAATGCCTGTCCTTGGCGATGGGTCAGAACTGGCTATTCTACAGCTGCCAAAGTGGTTCCAGGTGTAAAATGCCCACAAGAACTTGGGAACTTGAGCCCGCTCCCCGCCCCCAGCTCCACGACTTCACCTGTGACTGTGATGGTCAACCAAACACTGCCACAGACTGCCCACGGGAGGAACTGACCCATCAGGGTCAGAGTGTTCAGCGTGTCCCATTAGGATCTCAGTGTTCAGTGGCTCGGCCTCTGGCTGGGGGAGCATGTCCTCTCCCCAGCTGCTGCTGCGGCTCAGACCTGGCATTATCATTACCCAGTTTACTCAGGGAAGCCCTCACAGAGAGCTCCTCAGGATGGAGGGGAGAGAGCAGCAAAGACTCTGACAACTCCAATTCAATGCTGGTCTAGCTGAGGATGGGGTACTGAGTCACAGGGTGTGGCAGGATGTCGGGTTGGGGAAAGTTAGAGAAGCAGAAGGCTCCAGTCCTTGGAGAAGAAACAGGTTCTCAGGTGGGTCATGGATGTCGGAAACATGGGACACATTTAGAAGGCCTGAAGAGCTGCAACTCCACAGGTGAATGGAATGGGTCACAAAAGAAAAAACAACTCTCACTCTGGTGGACTCCAGTGGGCTCAACCAAGACTAAAGCAAAGAAAGACAGACTAACCCACAGGTAAGATAGAAACAACCACAAGGTCCCTGGGGTAGCCAGAGGCCCGAGAGTAACAGGCTGTGGGAGTTTCAGGGGCTCTGAGAAGGGGCTCGCTACTGCTGAGGGACCCCTGTACCTCTGAGCCAGAGCACAGGGCCTCCCTTAGCAGCCATTTGAGTTCCTAAAACTGCATGATACAGATGAATAGTTAGAACCACTACCCTGAGTTCCGAGAGTGTTCTGTAGGCATGAGGACTTCAGGACCCAGGAAGAGAGTAGAGCCACTGGAATATGTCTGAGTAAGTAGTGGGACAAGGCTATTTCAGATCCATTCCCTCCTATCTATCCCCATTAATTCTACCATAGCACAAGTCTCATCATTCCATTTCTGGAAGTTTTGCAACAGTCTCCTACCTGCTCCTTCTGCCAACACCTTCTTCCTGCTCAATCTAGCACCTACTCTCACCAACAGGGTCATCTTTATAAAGTACAAACATGATCACTTCACTCCACAGCCCAACCCTTCAACTAATCCCTATTAAACTTCTTAACACAACATTCATCCACTTCCATGATACCTGACCCCTACCTTAGCTCCTAATTCATCTCCTACCTGAGTCTACACTCACGCACATATACACAGAGACACAAAAGCATGCCTAATGCTCCCACAGTACTAGATCCCTTTTAGTTCCTCAGATACACCAAGCGCTTTTATCTTCTCATGCTTTTGATTGTGCTCTTCCTTTTGCTTAAGATGCCCCTCCTCCCCTTAGCTGTCTGACTAATGATTCCTTGAAGAGAGAATGAAAACGTTCTATGGCAGTCTCAAAATCCCAAAGACTTTTTTTTCGGAAACAGAGAAAACCATACTAAAATTCCTATGGAATTTCAAGCAATCCTGAATAGCCAAAACAACCTTGAGAAAGAATAAAGTTGAAAGTCTCACCCTTCCTGATTTCAAGTCTTATTACAAAGCTGCAGTAATCAAAACAGTGTGCTGCTGGCATAAAGATAGAGATATAGACCAATGGAATAGAATAGAGAGCCCAGAAATAAACCCTCTCATATATGGTCAAATGATTTTCAACAAGGGAGCCAAGACCATTCAATGGGAAAAAACATAGTCTTTTCAACAAATGGTGTTGAGAAAACTGGATACCCACATGCAAAAGAATGAAGTTGAACTTGCCTTACACTATATTAAAAAATTAACTAAAAATGGATCAAAGACCTAAACAAGAGAGCTAAAACTATAAAACTCTTAGAAGAAAACATAGGGGAAAAGCTTCATGACATTGGATTTGGCAATGATTTCTTGGATATGACACCAAAAGCACTGGTAACAAAAGTAAAAATAGATAAATTGGACTACAACAAAACTTAAAACTTCTGTGCATCAAAAGACACAATCAACAGAGTGAAAAGGCAACTCCCATAGAATGGGAGAAAATATTTGCAAATCATATATTTGATGAGGGATTAATATCCAGATTATATAAAGAACTCCTACAACTCAACAACAACAAAAAACAAACAACCTGATTGAAAAATGGGCAAAGGATTTGAATAGACATTTCTCCAAAGAAGATACACAAGTCATCAATAGGCACATGAAAAGATGTTCTACATCACTAAACATTAGGGAAATGCAAATCAAAAACACAATGAGATACCACCTCACACCCATTAGGGATGCCTACTTTCAAAGAAACAGAAAATAGGGGCCGACCCCATGGCTTAGTGGCTAAGTGCGCATGCTCCGCTACTGGCGGCCCGGGTTCGGATCCCGGCACGCACCGAAGCACCGCTTGTCCGGCCATGCTGAGGCCGCGTCCCACATACAGCAACTAGAAGGATGTGCAACTATGACACACAACTATCTACTGGGGCTTTGGGG